TCTCGATATACATTCTCGGTCCGTCAGAAGGACATCGCGTCGCGTCGAAGAGACCGTCGATGACCTCCTTCTTCAGCCGCGTCCTCCGCCTTCAGCCGCCGTCCGACAAAGAAACCTCCTCCGTCAACCTCCTTCAGCCTTCAGCCGCGTCCTCCGACATCAGCCGCCGACCGACAACTCCTCCTCCGCCATGGTCCTCCTTCAGCCGTCGATCTCGACTTCAACCGTGGTCCTCTCTCTCTCCTCTCCTCTTTACTCGACTGAGAAACTCTCAGGTACGACCTCCCAAATTTTCCTCTTACCATTTTCAAATAAGTTAATTAGAGGATAAGGCTCTGAAAAATAAATTGATTCATCATGTAACTTAAGCCGAAGATCTATTTGATTCCATTTTCCTCTTTCAAATAAGTTAAATTAGAGGATAAGGATCTTCAGTTTCCATTTTCCTCTTTCCATTTTCCTGGAAACAAACAGCTTGCTGCAAATCCTGGAAGCTCCAAATATGGTTAGGAAAATCTATTTGATTCATCATGTAACTTAAGCTTGAACGAACAGAGAAGAAACTCTCAAAATTTTCTAAATTAGAAGCACCTAGAGGAAAGGGTAATGGATTTGCTGCAGGGAATAATGTTCATTTTCTAAATTAGAAGCACCTAGAGGAAAGGGTAATGGATTTGCTGCAGGGAATAATGTTCAGAAAAAAAGGCATACAAATACATATAAATGTACATTGTAATGGATTTGCTGCAGGGAATAATGTTCAGAAAAAAAGGCATACAAATACATATAAATGTACATTGTTGAAATTTACATTGTTGCATTGTTGAAATTTACATTGTTGCATTGTTGAGTGAAAATGGGGGCTGAAAATTTGATAGACTCAATATATGTATTTTTTTTTCTAAATATAAATTATGCATATTGATGTTGTAGAATCCTGAATATAAATGTATTTTTGTTTCTATAGGCTTATTTACATCAATCCAATAGAAACTGAAGATGGTTGCTCCCATGTTGTTGATGAACAAATCTCTCAGTTGGATAACTTAGTTGTGCCAATTGTTGATGAGCACTTAAAGTTTAGAAGATGCTGAAAAATTCTACGGAACTTACGGAAAGGCCGGAGGTTTTGATATCCGTAATAGCACAACAAATTATGGGAAGGATAGAGAATTAATTGGCAAAAGTTTTGTTTGTTCGAAAGAAGGAGTGTTAAAAAGCAAATCATTAGAAATTCGACGATGTGGTACAATTAGAACAAATTGTAAGGCCTTGATTCGCTTGAAATTAGACAAAAACAATGGCATATGGAGTGTCTACAAGTTCGTGGAAGAACATAATCATACAATTACTTCACCGAGCAGAACACATTTCTAAGGGGAAACCGTGAGGTAACAAGTGCAAAGAAGACATTAATTAAGCAGTTTGGAGAGGTGAACATTCCAACAAACAAGCAAATGGCCTTCTTTGAAAACTCTAGCGGAGGTTTTCATAGAATTGGATGCATTGAGACCGATGTGAGAAATTATGAAAGAGATTTGAGAGAGGAGAGGCGCGGTCATGATGCACAAATGATGTTGGATCATTTCAAGTTGGAACAAGAGAAGAATCCTTCATTTCATTATGTTTATGAAGTTGATGAAGAGAAGCGCTTAACTCATTGTTTTTGGGTGGATGGCATTGCTAGAATGAATTATCAACACTTTGGCGATGTTGTCTCCTTCGATGCCACGCATAACACAAATCAATATGGCTTGGTATTTGTGCCGTTTGTAGGCATAAATCACCATTGGCAAAGTGTTTTTTTAGGATGTGGCTTGATCCCAAACGAAGAGGCGAAGTCTTTTGTATGGTTGTTTAACAAATGGATTGAAGCAATGGGTCATCCTCCTTCGGGCATGATTACAGATCAATGTCTTGGCATATGCAAGGCAATTGAAACAGTTTTTCCAGAAATTCGGCACAGGTTTTGCATTTGGCATATCTTGGACAAAGTCCCGGAGAAGTTGGGTAAATGGGCTTATAGTACAGAATTTATGAAATCTTTCAAAGAAATTATTTGGGACTCCGAGACTGCTAGCTCTTTTGAAGAGAATTGGGTTTCAATTCTTAAGAAAAATGGATTGGAAACGCATGATTGGCTAAAGGATATTTATGCAATTCGTGAAAAATGGGCTCCGGTTTATCATAAAAAACACTTTTGGGCCGGAATGTCTAGCAGTCAAAGAAGTGAAGGGATGAATGCATTGCTAAAAATACATGTATCAAGGAAAAATTCACTTCATGATTTCGTGATCATCTTTCAGAGGGTCTTGGCGAGACAAAGAGAGGGGGAGCTTAAAGAAGATCATTGCACAGTGGAGAAAAAACCAAAATTGAAGACTTTGTGGTCAATGGAAAAACAAATGGCCCAAATCTACACGAAAAAAATCTTTTATATTTTTCAAGACGAGCTTCAACCTAGCTTAATGTATAACATTGAGCTGGTAAAAGAAAATGAAAGAGAAAGTACTTTCCAATTGAATTTTTGTGGTCATGATGAAAGATTGAGACATATTATATATTGCAAAACAACTAAAATGGTCCGTTGTTCGTGTCTCATGTTTGAATTCAAGGGCATTCCATGCCGACATATCTTGGCATATCTTAAAATTACCAATCATAGTGAGTTACCGGAGCAATATATTCTAAGAAGATGGTGTCGAAATGTCAGAAAAAGGGTTGTTCTTAGGGATGGTAATATTATTGGAGATAATGCCACAATTAATTTTGCTTCTCGTTTTAGTGAACTAAATTGCTTAGCCAATGAAATGGTTGAAGAGGGGCTATCTTCTAATGATGCATATGAATTAATGCGTGCAATGATGATGGATGCTATTAATAAGGTGCAACGTTTGAAACTCACCAATGATGAAGAAATTGGACAAGATGTGGAAGGACAATATATGAATGCGGAGTGTTCTCAAGATATGGTTCATGAACCAAGTCAAGCAAGAACAAAAGGAAGGCCTAAGGGGAAGAGGTTAAAGCCATCGAGAGAGATCCGCAAATGTCGGCCTAGGAAATGCAAATTGTGTGGAAAGAGAGGACAAAATCATGATAGCAGAAATTGCCCTCTAAAGTTGTCAAGGTAGTGTATCATTTGTTTTAGTACTACTAATGCTATTATTTTTTTTAAACTTTTTTAAATTTTGTGCAATGACCTTTAATATGTTTTGCTATCATCAATTTTTTTTAGTGATTCAATGGAACAAGATAATATTGATGAAGCCATTGATGATTTAGAAGATTCCTGTGAGGAAGGTAATGGTTAATACATACGGAATAACTTGTACATTGCCCTTTTTTTATATAATGTGATTTTTTTAATGTGATGAAGCACTTTGTTTTTTAATTTTTTTAATACAGATGAAGTTCTCACTATTGAGTGAAGTTTGATCAAGGTTGGCAGAGCAAATCTATGAAATTAAACAGGTCTAGTTGCATCCTACTCCTTCACACACAGAAATCCTACACGCCTTTTAATTTCTTTTTGGCTTACTATGTCAAGTCTCAACTATGTCACTATATAATCTAATTTGAAAAGCTTATTGTTTATGTTGTTCCAAAATAAGCAGCACTTTGTTTACAGCTCTGTCTTTTTGGCTTACAGGGGCTGGACCGTTAGGTGGATTACAAATAAGCAGCACTTTGTTTACAGCTCTGTCTTTTTGGCTTACAGGGGCTGGACCGTTAGGTGGATTACGTACTTATCAAAAGAGGTCAAAGGCCTTTGCTTACAGATAGTGAACTAATATGTGTATGCTGAGATTACAGCTCTGTGTTTTTGCTGGACCGTTAGGTGGATTACAGCTCTGTGTTTTTGTATCTTTAATCATTTGTAACGTCATATGTCGGTTGTTTCAGTGATTTGTGCTTGGCGTGTCGCTGAGATTAAACAGGTCTAGTTGTCTTAACATGAGTGATGTTGAACACTTACTATTGAAATAGGTTCATAGACGCTAATGTTACAATGGCAGTTAGTGCTGTCCTCTTTGTAGCGTTGTTCGTAGTATGTCCATTAGTGCTGGCTGTTGATGCTTGATTCTGTCAGGTTCACTACTGAAAAAAGGGACGTTCTTTGTGGGTATTGTGATGCCAAGGCAGAAATGATATCCTTCAACTGTTGAGATTGAATTTTAGAGGTTCCATTGTGGGTTCTTAATTTGTTTCGTGATTTAGCACTTTTAAGATTATGTTAATAAAAGTGCTAAGAATTTTGGTCAATGATGATAACTGTTTCTGACCGTAATAACATTCCGCAAAGTTGCACTGTAGCACTTGCTGAGAAAGCATGAGTCGGATTAGCACATGTAGGCTCACTGTTCATAATTTTTGAACTGGACTAGAGCACTCATGTTAAGTGCTGAAGTTTTAATATTATAATGGAGTTAGATATAAAGTTTCTGAAATTCTTTTCGTAGAAATATTTTTTTGGCGAAGTGCAATGGAGACTCAATCGTTGTCATTAACATATTAGTTGATATCTTCAAAGTTTTCGTATGTATTTGCTTCAGAGCTGCAGAGTTTGCCAAATAAAAACAGCGAGAGCAAAGTGCAAGCTAATCCTTGATCTTCAATTACACAAGTAAGAAATTATCCTTTTTTTTATTACTCGACACTATTCTGCTGCTTCTTCAAGACCTATCTAGGAGCAGGAAATTAGTTTTCGATATTTTTTACAGACTCGAAAGGGAGAATTTGAATCGTTCTTATAGCTATCAGCATCAATGTAACCCAACTGTGGAACGAAGTCTAACATGCAAAAATGCAACTTAATGGGAATTAAGTTCTGTTTATTTTGAGTTTTTGTACATGCAGCTTTCTGCTATTGTTTCTAGCCTCAGATATCATCAAGTGTATTTTTCATTCATATGAGATATTATCATTTATCATTGAAGCCACACAGATTTCTTTACGAGTATAGTTTTGAAATGTAATCATGCTGTTGTAATCATCCTGAACAAACTTCATAAGCATCCTGAATAGTATTACGATATACAAGAAATAGCTCACAAAGATCCTCCGACATGTTACTATATGCAAGTATTCACTAAAGGGCCATGAAGTAAACCTTGGATAATCACAACAGGCATTAGGCAACAGGCAAGTATTACTCAAATACAAATCTTACTCATCCAATAATACATTAGTTCACCCTACTTAGCACAAATCCAATAAAAATACCACATACAAATCCAAGAAAAATACCAATTAAAAGAACAAATACAACAAGCTTCAACAAATCCATAATATCAATTTCAATCTTTCTCCTTTCCCGCATTTCTCCAATTGACACGGCACTTGAAACTTGCGACATCACGCTCGACTGCTTCGTCTGAACAAGCCCTGCCTTTGAACCTTCAAACTCCTCTTCATCAGACACCCATTTGAAGAATCCACAATTATTCACTTTCCAATTAGCACATCCTAAAAACAATCGACCAGGGTTCGTCTTAGTTCCAGATCTGGAGAGTATAGCCCTCCTTCCACAATGGCACATCACTCCACGACGAGTGCTTGAAGATGACTCCATTATCCACAACTACAGATACAGAGAGTTAAAAAGATCAAAGCATAAACAGATACTCAATCAACACGACCGCCATCACCAAGCTAATTAAAACAAATACATGACAAGGCCAAGCTTTTACATTTCAAATTAAATAAGAGTATTATTTTGCCCATCTATACCAATTTCCATTGAAATTCTGGAGCAAGCCCAAATGTTGTTATTGGTTGAACATTACAAACAGCACGTGGGAAAGCCCAAATGATGTGGAATTGTATTTTGGAACTTGAAAGCAAATGACATTTGATTTATTCATTTAGCCTGCCCTCGGTCATTTTGAGCCCTCAACAACATAAAGATTTTGTTTGATCATGAAGTAATGCAGATTCCCAATATTAGCATTCATGTTCAGTTTATTAGGTTCAACCAATAACAAATTTCTCACACCTAACAGAGAATTAGTATCTGTAATCACTGAGACGAGAACTGTTCGCAATAACAAATTTCTCACACCTTGGATAATCACAACAGGAAAATTTGGGAGGTCGTACCTGAGAGTTTCTCAGTCGAGTAAAGAGGAGAGGAGAGAGAGAGGACCATGGTTGAAGTCGAGATCGACGGCTGAAGGAGAACCACGGCGGAGGAGGAGTTGTCGGTCGGCGGCTGATGTCGGAGGACGCGGCTGAAGGCTGAAGGAGGTTGACGGAGGAGGTTTCTTTGTCGGACGGCGGCGGTCTCTTCGATGCCGACGCGATGGTCTTCGACGGAGAGATGATCTCGAGACCGACGGAGAGATGATCTGGAATCCGATTGTTAGAGAGAAAGGGAGAAGAGAGCCAGGAGGGGGGTTTTGGGAAAGCAAACCGTCTGGGGGTTCACGCCTATTTCATCCAACGGATGGGAACGCTGCCCTCACATCCAACGGAGAGAAATGAATTTTGCACGTTACTGTGCGAAAAACCTGTTCGCACCCCGAAGATTTCTCTTCTCTCTCTACTCTCTCTATATATATATATTATAATATATCTATAATATATATATATATATAATATATTATATATATATATTGTATGAGAAAACGGGAGGTGAGCTGGGCAGCGCGTAGGAAATTTCCCTACGCTGCAGTGGTATACCATGTGAGGCCACACCGATGTGACAGTAGGCGGGCTGCACATCGTCATAGCACTTGCAGCGTAGCAAATTTCCTACGGCTGCGAGGGGCTATCCCGTTTTTTCATATATATATAATATATATATAGTATATATATATATATATAATATATAGTATATATATTATATATTAATATATATATATATGTACACACACCACACACAGACACCACACACGACACAGCACACCACACATATATATATACTATATATATATATATAATATATATATATATATATCATATATGTCATATTGAAAAAGTGTTATAAGGATCTTAAACATAAAAAAATGCAAAGACAAAACTCAAAATTAAAGAAATCAAATATTTGATCAACATATAATTATAAACCATTACATCATGATTGATTGAGTAAACACAAAGGTATATTATCATGAAAATTTTGTCTCAACAAACATATATAGATTTATGAAATCAAAAGAATGGAAAAAGCATGAGAATTATGAAAAATATTTTTAAATGAAAACAAATCATGACAATCATGAAAGTCCAAATGAAATCAAATCAATCAAATAAAATCATAAATCAAAATCCAAACCATAATAACATAAAACAAACCAATATTAATTTTTGTCATATTTGATAAGAAAACAAGAGAGGCAAGCATATTAAGCTCTTGAGCTTGTTTCAACCCATATAAACTTTTAGTACCCGGTAAATATGATTTGAAAATAAATACCCAATAAATCTGGGGGGTTGCTCAAACACATATCACTCATCAAAATCAAAGCTAATAAATTGAAAACAAAATTATGTACTTAAAATTATGTTTTTATTTTCAAAAACTTCAAAACACCTTTTCCAAAAATAAGAAATGAAAAATAAAAACACTAAAAATTTTTGAATTTAAAAATCAAAAAGATTTTGGCTCCCAAGCACTATTATTGCCGAAAGATTTTGAATTTAAAAATCAAAAAGATGTAGTAGCATGAGACTTAGCACACATATCCACAAGCTTCTTATGGTTATCAATGCATGTAGTAAGGGTTGAAGCTAAGGATGAAATGTGATTCTTCATGTGATTCAACTCATTATTAGGCACATATGCATTTGTGTTAGAAGTAGAGCATATATGATTATTCTTGAAAGAATCAAATTTATTTCTAATAGATTCTACTTCCAGCATGGTATTATTTTTCTCATGAGTTAAACTAGCAATATTTGAGATAAAGAATCATGATCTAATTTTAATTTTTCATTGTTTTCTTTTAGAATCACATTCTCTTTAGAAATTAAATCAAATTTAGATGCTAATAACTCATGATCGGATTTTAATTCAACATGTTTGTTTTTCAAACTAACAAAATTATTATGCAACTTGGTGTAGGCATGCACTAATCTATCATATGCACATGCAAGATCAGTAATAGATAATTCACTTTCGGATTCTGAATCGTATACCACATTAAGGCTATCGCCTAGTGGTTATGTGCACAATAAGGCTCCACATAAACTTGAAGAGGAAGCCGCCAAAGCTTATTGGATCGCCTCCAAGTTCCCTTGATTTGTTTCTATGAATTTCCTCAATGTATAAGCACTATTAAATAAATCAAGCTTGTTAGAAAACGATGAGTCAAAAGCATTGAGCAAAAATTCTAACAAAAGGTTATTCATTATAAACATTCTTTTATTTTTATCATTCCACTTGGATTTTTCTTAGTGGGTACAATATATGTATCGTCAATAATTTCCCATAAATTTAAATGTTTAGACCGAACAAAAAATTTAAATCTAACACATCATTAAGCATATGAGAAATTATCTATTCTAGGAGCAACATTAATGACATAGCCTAAACTAGGTGCATCGTGCATATCCATAATAACATGCAAGCAAGAAAAAAAAATCTCAAAACTAGATTAGTAAAAATGTAAACCTAGGATCTTTAACTCAAGGCAGTTAGGCCACAAATCAAAGAGCACCATGCTCTGGTACCAAATAAAATTACCCTAGGGGGATGAATAGGGTATATGCTAATATAATTCAATTACAATGTTAATTTAAAACTAATTAATAATATCCTAATAATTATGATATACAACAAGATATATGAGTAATGATATGCAATTAAACTATGGGCAATATAAACATGAGACAAAGGCGATATATAATGAAAGAATCAATGAGCACAAATAATACGCCAAAGCAAACGCAAACACAAGCAAATGATCACGGAGTTCGATCACCCTTGACCTACGT